GACAGGGTCTTCTTCTTCTTCTTCTTCTTCTTCTTCTTCTTCTTCTTCTTCTTCTTCTTCTTCTTCTTCTTCTTCTTCTTCTTCTTCTTCTTCTTGGTGGACTAGGGGTGAAACTCAGAACCTTGTGCTTTGCAAGGCAAGCACTTATTCTACTGGGCTATCTCCCCAGCCCAGACAGGATCTTGCTAAGTCACCAAATAGCCAAGTGAGACTCAAACTTGCAGTCTTCCTGCCTCCACCTCCCCAGTGCAGGACTTATAGAATGCACCACAGTTTAGAGATGACTTTGGGATTTGGAACTTCCTCAGACCTGTCACTTCCTAGCGCTTGCATGGGAACTCTTACCAAACACCCTGCATCTGCTTGGTGATCTACCAGGCACTGACTCCACCCTGCTTTGCTCGCCCGCATCCCATCACATGTGACAGCCAACCCTGCCGTGTCTTAGTGTGTGAGTGGAGGTGCTGAGGCTGTCCCTTGCCTCTGACAACCCAGCTCCCAACAGCCACTGCCCCCTGTGCCTGTGCCAAGCTTGTACCTGGGACGTCTGCTCTGCCCTCTACCCACCCTGGGCCCCACTGCTGCCTTTCATGGCTCTCTGGCTGTCTTTGACCCTTTACCTGGGACAGATACAGGTCCTTAGGACCATGAACTTCCCGAGGGATCTGAGCATCTTATCAACCTGGACTTGTGGGCAGGATGGGCACACAGCATCCCCTCTGAAGTCACTCTAGAATCCCTTCACTGTGGCATGAAATGACATATTTTACAGACATCCTCTCTGAAAGCCTGAGCCACAGAAGGGTCCAGGTGCCACCTCATGGTGGCCCAAGCCAGCGTCCTCAGGGCAGCTCATCCTTTGTGTTCCCTTGACCTGCTTCTTCCCAGGGCCCCCAAGGGCCAGAGCCCTTTCTCCCACACTTGTTGTGTGTGCCCTACAGCTGGGGCGGGGGCAGGAGCAGGGCTCCCACCTGAGCCCTGCCCCTGGCCCACAGGTCACCTTCCAGGTGAAGGTCACGGCTACAGAGTGCATCCAGGAGCAGTCCTTTGACATCCGGGCGCTGGGGTTCACAGACACAGTGACCGTGCAGGTCCTGCCCCAGTGTGAGTGCCGCTGCCGAGACCAGCAGCAGAACCAGGGCTTCTGCGGGGGCAAAGGCTCCATGGAGTGCGGGGTCTGCAGGTGAGGGGCACAGGTGTCCCACAACAGATCCTGAGGTGTAGGACAGGTTGGAGGGAGCTGGGGTTCACCCTGCAGAGGAGTGGTGTGATTAAGACAACTACAACGCAGTACTGTGCAGGATTTAAATGAACCAATTGGCTTTCCATGTTTTCTTGTGAGCCTGTCCAAGGCCTAGGCCACTTATGTGGAGGTGAGTGGTAGATTCATAAGTGAACCTGTATAAGCCACTGGTCCCAGCTAAGGCCTATAATAGGAGAACCATGGACACCTCAAAGCACAAAACAGGGCCATAGCTAAGGACTCCTGGCTCCAACTCAATTAATACTGTAGCTGTAGGCAGCTCACTCCTGGGTGGAAACCTTCCTAGACATAGCACAGTTCTCGTAAATTAACTTAATGTCTTACTTGGAGAAGTCTGTGAGAGTACTCCCCCCACTCCATTTTTTTAAACTATTCTTCTCCTTTGTTTTGATAATTAAATAAACATCAGCCATGCAAAGAAGATCCTTGTCTAAGTCCTCAGAGAGTCTCTAGGTTTTTTTTTTGTTTTGTTTTGTTTTTTCAGAACCAGGGATTGAACCCAGGCCCTTGTGCTTGCCAGGGAAGTGCTTATTCCACTGAGCCATCTCCCTGGCCCAGAATCTCCAGTTCTGCTAGAGGATTTTGATCCTCCTGGAGCCCTAAAATCATACTACTTCACTTATTTATTTAAGCCTTGGCCTTCAACTCATTTGGGAGATTTCAGGCCAGTTTGGTCAGCAATAACTAAGGGAGACTATTAAGGCATGAGTGCTGGCAGCTCTGCAGCCATCCTTGGGGTCCCTGCTCTGCTAGTCCTCAGGCAGTCCTCATTCATGCTTGTCCCTGCACACTACTGTCCCTGCTTAGACAGTGCACAGACAGGCAGAGCTGATGAGGGAGGAAAGGGACCACTGAGCCAAAGCCATCTGACACCTTGACAACAGAGTTGTCAGGAACAGATGGCCTCAGCAGAGCATGGTGTCCCCTTCACAACCATTTGCACATACACACACAATTTGGATTTGCAGTGTCCATGCTCAGAGACCCATGTCAAATATATACCTGCCCTCTTAGGGATGCCCTAAGAGGCAGCTCAGGTCTCTGTCAGATGCTTAGTCCATCACCTGTGCGCCCAAATCTTGGAGAAAGCAGACATGGGTGCTGGAGCAGGAATCTGGGCTGAGGGCAGCCCAAAGATGGAGGCCATGTCCTGCAGGGAAGCTGACCACATGCCTCTTCCCCAGGTGTGAGGCTGGCTATATTGGCAAGAGCTGTGAGTGTCAGACTCAGGGCCGAAGCAGCCAGGAGCTGGAGGGCAGCTGCCGGAAAGACAATGGCTCTGCCGTGTGCTCAGGACTGGGGGACTGTGTCTGCGGGCAGTGTGTGTGTCATGCCAGTGATGTCCCCAACAAGGTCATCTACGGGCGCTACTGTGAGTGTGACAACATGAACTGTGAGCGCTACGATGGGCAAGTGTGCGGTGGCCCAGGTGAGTGACCAGGCCCCACCCAACAGGACCTTCAGGGAAGGGCTTTCCTGTCCACTGCACAGGAAAGCAGGCATGGGACCATGGGGATAGACAGATGGACAGACTCATGGTCCAAATCTTGGCCACTTGGCAGCAGCAGAATCAGGCAACCTCCTCCCCACCAGCCATGTTTCTGCCTCTGTGCAGGTACCACCACACAGGCTCCTGGGAGGGTGCCATGGGAGCCACAGTCCGGGAGGGGGTCCCATTCCAGGTGGTACCGGTCCTGTGCTCAGGCCCAGCTACTGGAGGAAGTGCCAGAGAGGAGGGCAGCAAAGCAGGCAGAGGTGGGCTGTGTAGACCCTGGGGCTGTCTCAGAGGAGGCAGCAGCACCCCCTTCCAGGATGTTCTGGACCCTGGGCCTGGGAGGCAGCTGAGTGGCAGTGGCCTGGCTGCCTTGCAGAGAGGGGCCGCTGCGACTGTCACCGGTGCTTCTGTGAGAAGGGCTTCGAGGGCTCAGCATGCCAGTGCAAGAGCTCCACTGAGGGCTGCCTGAATGCTCGGCGTGTGGAGTGCAGCGGCCGGGGCCGGTGTCGCTGCAACACATGCGAGTGTGATGCGGGCTACCAGCCGCCCCTGTGTGAGGAGTGTCCTGGCTGCCCCTCGCCCTGTGACCGGTACATGTGAGTGTTCCCCACTCCCCAATGCCCACCTCCCCAGCTCCCACCTTGGACCCCAAGGATACCAGTGCCAATAGCCCTGGGGTTCCTGCAGGTGCCAAAGCCCCCATCCTCTCCTCCATGGGTATAGCTGCAGGTCCTCACTTCAGAGGCTGGGCCTGAGCCTCTTCAGCCCAGAGTCAGGGTTCTGTCCTCTCACTCTGCCACCCACCCCCTTAGCCTGTGCCCCTTCACATTCATCCTGCACTGGGCCTTAAGGACATCCAGGCCACATTTACACACCGGTACAACCTTACACACCTGTGGACACGTGCACACACAGGTACACCCTTAACGCCCTGTGCCTTGCTTGTGTCTGGCTCCCACAGCTCCTGTGCCGAGTGCCTGAAATTCGGCTCAGGCCCTTTTGAGAAGAACTGCAGTGTGGCATGTGCACATCTGAAGCTACTGACCTCGAGTGGGACTCGCAAGCCCTGCCGGGAACGGGACTCACAAGGCTGCTGGATGACCTACACTCTGAGGCAGCAGGATGGGAGGGACAAGTATGAGATTCATGTAGAGGAGGACCGAGGTGAGGTGGGCAGTGCCCAGTGGAAGGTTGGCGGGGGGCAGGGTGGGTGGGACCAATGACAGTGGAGGCAGCCACAAGACCCAGCAGGTGCTGAGGGGTAGCAGAGGGACAGGTCTCTCGCCAGGCTTGGCAGGCGTGGCACACCAAGGAGGGTAGGCTCACAGGCCAGACTGGAGCCCAGGAGCTTGTTGCTCCCTAACACAGCTCTCTATTCAGCTCTGGTCCTGCTGGTCTGGGAAAGCTGTGATCTGAACACTCCAACCTGGTCCTCTCTGAGTTCACACTCCAAGGGGGCAGGAGGCTCCTGGAGTACAGATGTAGGTGCAGGTGTCCTACAGTGTGGGGCTATGGCCAGGTCTCCAGGATGCAGAGACCTTGGGGCAGGTTCCCCCAGTCAGGGGTCTCAGTTCTCTCAGAGGGGATGATGGCAGTATTAAGACAGGGGAAATAAGGACCTTTGGCTGGGCAGGGGTTGAAGGAGTTGGGGAGGTTCCAGTCTGTTCCTGGACCTGCCAGGAACCATTTAAGGTTACTAGAAGACTGACTCATCTGAGTTGTGTTCTTAAAATTGTCCCCTGGCAGGCATATGGACATGGTCCTGTTGTGTAGGAAGTGGACATTGTTCTATCAGGGCCTGGAGGATGCTGTCCTTTCCAAGCCCACTGCTCAACCAGGAGTGATATGGATGGGAGGACTGCATGGGGTGCTGTGGTGTGGACAGAGCCTGCCCTATGGACAGTAGAGGAGATGGGTGGGGACAGTCGAGGGTCTGATTATGTGTGGCCCTAGCAGAGAGAGTAAGCTAAGTGTTAGGTCCATCAGTCTTCACACTGCATAACCATAACCAGTGGTATTGGGACACTGGACTTGGGCAGCAAGACATATGAAGGACTTCAGAGGGTTAGACCCACAGCCCTGGGGTTCTCAGATCCTTGTCCTGTTAGGTCTCAGAAACTCAGTGGATGAGCTGGGAGGACCACCAAAAGTGCAGGCCTGAGACCCAGGGTGCTCTGCCCCCAAGTCCTCCTCAAGTAGGGGCCTGGGAAGGCAGGTGGGGTCCAGCCTTTCCCTGTGACAATGCTTTTCCTACCAAGGGCAGAATAACATCAGGGAGACCACAGAAGTGTCGGGGTCAGGGCTGGCAGAGGGACTCATAAGAATATCAGTGCCTCTGCCCTCCCGCCCAGTGGTATAGCATGGCCATGGCTTGATGAGGGCCTGATGCCTTCTGGGTCCTGCCCCATTCTTCCAGGGGTGCCACCTGCCAGGTGGGGTCTTCAGTTCTGGCACAGGTTCACGCCGCTGCCTTTCTGTCATCTACCCAGAGCTGTGGGCAGACCCTGAGCCTGGCAGCCTGACTTCTGTGGAACATGGTGTGAGCCTGTGGCCTTGGGCCTGGGGGAGACACTGATGGGTGACTCTGTGCTTCCTTTTAGAGTGTGTGGAGGGCCCCAACATCGGCACCATCGTGGGGGGCACCGTAGCAGGCATCGTGCTCATTGGTGTCCTCCTCCTGGTCATCTGGAAAGCCCTGACTCACTTGAGTGACCTCCGGGAGTACAGGCGCTTTGAGAAGGAGAGGAGCAAGTCCCAGTGGAACAATGTAAGTGGCTCAGGGTTGGGGATGTCCACACGGGAGGAGTGTGCATACCAACCTGGGCAGCTTGCCCCCAAGTGTGCAAGAGTTGCTTTGGGGACTGGCACCTGGGCCAGCCCCATCTGGCTCAGCCCTCTATGTGATAGCTCCCCAAGTCTACTCCCAAATGACTTTCCTGTGCTCACAAGCTGTGTCCATGTCTCACCAGGATAACCCCTTGTTTAAAAGCGCTACTACCACCGTCATGAACCCCAAGTTTGCTGACAGCTAGGAGCGTCTGGCAAAAATGAGGCCATCATCATGACCTGATGGGACCCTCCTCAGTGCAACTCCTCACCCCACTGCCAGGACATGACTTAAGACTCTCCACAGTGTCACCGATGAACCTTAGCCCTCTGTGTTTCTCCCATCCCCAGCATGATAGATGTGGGCAGGTGATTTGTGAACTTGTCTTCAACCTCCCTTCTCATCTATCCAGTCATATGAGGGATATAAGCAGAGAACTCTCCCCAAGTTTCATGAGGCTGAACCATGTTCCTGTGTTAAAACTTAGGATGGCAGCCTGATTAAAGGGGGTACAAATTTATTTATATTAAAACTTGCCAGGCTACCAAACTATATCCTCCTGATTATTCTGTTAACCAGTCATGTGAATAGAAAACAAATAATAAAACCTCCACACAGACTGCCCAGAAAAGCAAGGTTCTGTGGTGTCCCCACCCCAGGACTTGCCTGCTGATCACTGGGTCTGCCTGAATCCTGCTCATCTTCCACACTAGGTGGGTCCTGGTCAATGCTGTGCCTTGCTAGCTTCCTCTTTCCCCTGTTGGTCCATGCAATACTAGACCTCTCCCCAAATCCTCTATCCCAAATCTTCAGTAGCTTTCCCATGGTGGTGTGACCCCACCAAAGGGAGCTAGGAGTCCATTACGTGTCACCTGCAACTCCAGACCCATGTGTGCCACTGCAGTGGTGTCTTGGGACCACTCCCTTTAAGTTTCAGGAGCAGGGGTCATCTCATGCCTGGTTTATCTGGTTTAGTTTTGTGCCCCTAATTTAATTTGATAATTCACAGGTGATAATTTTTTTTTAATTTAGGGAATAAACCTATTGGTCTGAGCCTTACCATTGCACCATGCAGCCAGGGTAGCTCTCAATAAGTCCTGTGTGTCTAGTGTGGCTAAGCATCAAGTAGTGGTGCCCATATCAGCCACCCGCTACCACATCCATAATTTAAAGGAGGTGTTTACTTGGGCTCATGGTTTGTTGTGGCTTATATCTGGATTTGTATCTGGGCATCTGTGGGAGATGATGAGGCCATGATAAAACCATTAATTCTGTACCAACTGAGCTTGAGTCTCACAGAGTTGAAGAATAAAGTGGAGCAGGAGAAATTGGAAGAGTATGTATTGGAAAATAAGAAGAGAAATAGCTCCTATCTCCGGGAGGGAATTCCAAGTGGAAATTCAAATCCCCTTTGTTCTGCTTTCATGTGGACAAGAAGAGCATGGGAAGAGTCAGTCATTCCACTTCCTGCAGAGAAACTGAGCTCAAGGAAACTGGCCATTTTGCATTCCTGATGTTTCCAGAAGTGTAGGAGGGAGGAACAGACAGCTAACTTAACATACTCTGCTTAAGAACCTTCAGCCTGGAAGGAAGGTCTTTATCTCTCCCTTCTTGTCCTAACTTTTTATCCTTTTCCTGTGTTTTCTTTACATTTCTTTTCTTTTTTTTTTTTTTTTTTTTTTTTTTTTTTTTTTTTTTTTTTTTTCCCCCAGTACTGGGGATTGAACTCAGGACCTTGCACTTGCCAGGAAGACACTTATTCTACTGAGCTATCTCCTTGGCCCTCTTTTACATTTCTAAGTTTAACTTGCTGCATGATTCGAATTAGCTTTGGTCTGACTCTATCATAGTATCTTAGGATACCCCAACTAACTGAGCTGGTACAATGAGAGTGGAGCACTCAGAAGCGGGTTTACTGTCATCAAAAAGGGGCCCAAGGGTGATTGCTTGCCCCTTTGGCCATGAGAGAACACAGGCAGAGGCAGGCTGCAGCAGTGAATCTGCAGTGCCATCGGACATGCTGGTGCTGGGCTCCGATGTCCACCGCTACAGGCAGTGACCCTGCTTGAAAGTACGTGATACAGCCTCAGTGTTACACTTCCAGGTAGGAACAGACTAAGACATCTGGTTTATAAATAAGAACATATGAAATAGAACTGACAAAGATTTAGTGAAGCCATGCCCTTCCACATCTAGGAAAAGAATCAGCTTTTTTTTTTCTATTAAAAATGAATTCTTAGCTGGGCATGGTAGCACACATGCCTGTAATCCCAGCACTCAGGAGTCTGAGATAGGAGGACCACTGTGACTTCGACTAGCCTGGTGTCTCAGTTACTCTTCTGTCATTTCTGGGACAAATACCTGACATTCAAAATTAAGGAAAGAAAGGTTTATTCAGCTCACAGTTAATGAAGGTTTCAGTCCATACTCAGCTGGCTCCAAGGCAGGGCAGCACATGGCAGAGGGCAGCAGTTCACGGCAGTGGCAGACAGCAAAACAGCAAGAGCAAAATGGGAGGAGTATCGGCACCAATGGCAACAGAGAGCAAGTCTGTCTCCCTTATGTTGCATTCAGGCTATCAGCCCCAGGCTAGGTGGAGCATTCACACCTATAATCCCAGCAACACTCACACCAGTCATTCCAGTAGCACTCACACCCATAATCCCAGCACTGGATCATGAATGAATCACAAAGTCTAGAAACCCGCCCCATGATTGTATGAGGTTTTAGGGGGACAACAAGGCACAAACCATAACACCTGGATTACAAGTGTAATCCTTTGAAATCCTCCACTTTCTGCAGCACTGCCCTCTGGCCCCTCCCTTCCTCTCTTCCTTCCTTTCTTTTTTTCGTTTTTTCTTGAGACAAGGTCTCACAATGTGGCTCAAGCTGGCCTTAAGAGCACAGTAATCCTGCTTCAGCTTCCCCAGTGCTGCAATTAAATGTACCTGGATTACAAAGTGAGCTCAAGGCCAGCCTGAACTGCATGTCAAGGCCCTGTCTCAAAGAGATCAAAATCAAACAAACAAACAAAGAATTCCTGCCCAGTGTGGTGGCACACTCTTGTAATCCCAGAACACAGGAGGCTGAGACAGGAGGATCACTGAGAGTTCAAAGCCAGCCTGGGCTACATAATGAGTTCAAGGCCAAGCTGAGCTACAAAATGAGACCCTGTCTCACCCCCTAATCCCATGAGTTTAACAAACTTGAGCCAGTTTCAGACAAAGCTGGCCTGCCAGTCAGCCTCACCTTCTGCTCTGTGCATGGCCCCAGGTTCTCAAACCAGGTGAGTTGCCCTCTAGATCCATACAGCAACAGCCCACCCTCCCAATGGCCCTCCATCCTTTGAAATCCTCCACTTTCTGCAGCACTGCCCTCTGGCCCCTCCCTTCCTCTCTTCCTTCCTTTCTTTTTTTCGTTTTTTCTTGAGACAAGGTCTCACAATGTGGCTCAAGCTGGCCTTAAGAGCACAGTAATCCTGCTTCAGCTTCCCCAGTGCTGGAATTAAATGTACCACCTGCTGGCTTGCTTTCCTATTTTAAAGACAGGCTTTGAGGCCTCATTAGAGCCCACACTGTACATAGTGGACCTGGCCCAACTTGCTGATTGTATTTGGAAGGAGTCCTTCCAGGGACCTAACTGTGTGTGGTGAATTTCATCCATTTTGCATCTGGCCTCTCTCCTTACTCTGTGCATTTGGGAGTTTCCTCTTCACCTGGTCACAGTATCTGTGGGGTCTGGTTCTGTCGTGGTGTTCCCAGTCTCCAGGTTCACTCAGGTTCCTGTGCTTGCTGCTGGCTAGATCGAAGGGGGCCACTTGTCTGAGTAAAAGGAGAAGGGGTTTACTAAAAGCTGGATGAGAAGAGATGGAGGTGCCCACTTACCTCAGGTCTTCCTCTCCCCTCACAGCCATGTGTAGGGTCCTCCATAGCAAGGGGCATGGCAGGGATCACAGGAGCAACTAGTAATCTAGGGCTAGGTGGGTCCACCCATTTCCTGGCTGCACCTTTCCCGCTCTTGCCCAAGAGAATGAAATGGCTGGACCTCCTCCTCTGCACCTCTGTCCACCCTGACTGAGAGCTGGGTGGCTGTTTATGCCTCAGACCTGGGAAAGCTTGGAGGAGCAGCTCTTCTCTGACTTCAGAGTTGCAGCCTGCTATACCAGCGAGCCACTGACCACAATGAGAGAGCTGGGGCTACCTCTCTGCCATGGTCTTGAGGCCAGAGAGGAGAGAAGAACAGTAAAACCAAGACAAGGAAATTCATATTTCTAAATTTTACTCTTAATAAATACTGTAATTTTAGGACAGAATTGCAGACAATAACCCCTTTGTCTTGGAACCTGGGCCATTCCCTTGGATGTGGATGGATCTGTTATGCCTGGGAATGGACCATGTCTTTCCTGCTGCAAATGGGCCTTTCTTCTTCTATGGGTGGGCTATGACTGACATTTGTGGTGGCTGTCACCTATGCCAACCTCCCCTTGTACAGAGAGCTGTCCCCTGCTATCTCTTTCTCGGGAGGTGGGG